AAAAAAAAAAAGCAATTGAATAAAAAACCTTCATCATCTGAACTTGAAATGTCATCGGCAATAACATCATCTAATTTCAGTGCTTTTCCATTCTTCTTGCTCCTGCTTGAACTACCACCACCAGTATCAATCTTTAGCATTTTTTCCTTCGATGTGGTATCAAGTCTTTTAAGTCTATCATGGTTAGCTTTTTCTCCTTTTTCACTATTTCGATAAGTTTCTAAAATTCCAACGCTATCATCACTTTAAACATCTGGATAAAAAGACTAGTGATTTAAATAATCCAAAACTATTGTGTTGACAACACCAATGATATAAAATCATAAGATTTTTTGAACTGTTGTAAAACAAAAATATACGCTTCGAATTTAGGCTACAACTCGAACTTGAGCGTTCGTTTTTAATATAAGTTGCATCTAGCGCAGGTACACGACTTTTCTTTTCTGATGAAGTTTGATCTAAAATTGAAGTAAATATTACTCGACATCTATATATCTAATAGTGATTTCTGAGCATGAGATAACTTAAAAAATAATTCGAAACGCTGCATATGAACAGTCGATCATAAAAGTTTACTAACAGTCAACAATGCATTGCAATTATGAGGAAAACTCGTGCTGTAGTAATTTCATGAAATATAATCATAAGTCAAAAATGCAGAACAAGCATTTTGATCTTATTTAAACACTGAAGCACTTCAAATATGTGTCATAAAGCAGAACTATCTTCGAACAGGAGATAAGCAAATTTTAAACTAGACACTATTCTCACATGAAAAATGTAAACGATTCAGTGAATTAACTCATCATCAATCGAACCTGAAGCACATTTACTTTGTTTGCTGTCCTCATGATCTTTACGAGATGTTCCTATCTTTACGATGAAATCCCCACCGACGTTAATAGCAGCTTTTGAAGTGCTTCCAAATACACACTGATTTCTTCTAGGTATTATAATTGAAGACTTTGGCTGCAAACTGTACTATTAACAGTTGGATTCTCCGAATTCAAAAGACAAAATATGATTGCTTTGATTAAAGAGTGAAAAAAAACTGTGGCGAATTCGCATTTCCACAATAATATGAAGTTTAATACAAACCTTCTTTCCATCTTCTAATAATGAAAGTTCACGCTGAATTTCAATCAAACGTTGCTCTAACTGATGACATGTCGTATTTGAATTTTCCACTAAATCAGTTGCAAGTAATAACTTAGTTCAGTAATTTAAGAAATTTAACAACTTATCAAATCCAATCAAAAATACAATATGATTGTTTCGATTATGGAGTGGAAAAAACTATTCTAATATAAAAAATATCCATAGTTGCGAAAAACACAACCTACTTTCACTCACGAATGACTTTAATGATTTTCCGTCACCATCACTGTATTGTGAACGTGAAGATACAGAATGCTGCTGTTTGGCTAGCAAATTCGGATCATGTGAAAATTTACAACTTTCACCATAATGACAATCACCAAATTTTGCAAATGCATAGCAAATTTTATTTGCATGCTTAACTGCTCTGTAAGACAAATTTATGAAAAACAAGAATATTTATGTACTTAACGACTGGACATTATTATTATTACTACAGATGTGAGGAAATGCTAGTGAAAGGCTTTTTGGAGAAGCAACAAAAGTGAAAGAAATAAAATAACTTATGCACAGCATGCATTACTTTTCGCGTTCTTTTAATTCATAAATTGATTTGGGTTTGTTTTCCTTCGATGGTTCACTTGCCGCATCCTGTTTATAACTGATTTGGTCGTCTGAAGAATTCGATGCATATGTATTAGCACAATTACAAGAGTAAAACTTTGATGTAGTGTAAGAATAATGTAATTCACTTTTGACTGATGATTTCATAAAACCACCATATTTGCTGTCTTCGACTGGTCCAAAATCGTCAAACGCTGATTCATTGTAACTTTCGGATAAAAACTGCCGTCGATTATGCTAATATAAATTACATTAGAAGTTAATATTACTGATGCAATAATCCTTCTAACCTACAAATATAATGTTAAATCATTTTCATATCACAACGTTTTTGTATTATTCTATGAATTAAGTAGATTATTCTATGAATCAACTAGATTATTCTTTAAATTAACTAGATTATTGTATGAATCACCAAAAAGTGAAATACTGATATGTAAATCGTAACTAGCCCATTTCTGTTTACCATTATTATATAATTGTTTGTTCTACGAGTGAATCACAGAAAATTATTAACCGAAGCAAATGTAAAATAACTAGTAATACATGAATTAGTTCGTTGATAAGATGAAGAGTTTCGAAGTAGCTCGGAAATCATACATGACAAGTACATTAGCACGTGTTTTGCATGATTCGTTCCATGTTAACTTATATATTCGAATTTACTACACGAGTAATAAATAAGAAAACGAAATCTTCTTAAATTAAGATCAAAAAAATGAATCAGTTCAAATCATTGGTTTAAAAGTAAGAAAACTATTAATAATAATAATAAATCATGAAATTATATTATAATAATGATAATTCAAATGATTATGTAAGCAAAAGAGTCTACTTTGCGGGAGCTTTTCGATAAGCTGGAAGAGCTCGTAGTTGGTAAAGTTTGAGTTTCCTCACATTCTTCAAAATCATCCAAATATTTCGCGTAAGTTGCAGGGGGACTTGGGCTTCTTTTACAGTTTTTTAGCATTTTCTAAAAGCGACAAAAATAAAGCATTACTAACAGCGTGAAACCATCCTGACATTCCCGATTGAAAATGTCTTCCACGTGTAACTAAAATGCAAGATAACACACGAATAAACGCACACTGACCTTCATCCACCTCATTGGGAACACTGCCGAAAGTTTGCAGATGCATTTCATACTGATACCGCTCACTACTATAGCAGTCTCGATAGGTTCCTCTCAAGTTGTTCAAAAATTTGAAACTTTCACAACAGCTTGTTTCTAATTGATCATCCCAATATTTTCACCAAAGTGGTTCTGTGATGAATGCTTGTTAGACTATTTCAAGCTTTTTGTCATTTCTCTGGTTTTTGATTGCAAATTATAGAATGCAATGTGGTATATTCTTGATTAACCGTTTATGACGATCAGTTTTAAATATTATTTACATATCACTTTCTTGTTGTAGATATGGATATCAAAGAATCTTATTATCAATCGCAATTCGTTGAGGCCAAGTGTTCTCGTGTGCGATGGCTGGATGTTGGAAAACGTCAGAAGAAATTTCTTACTTCTTCGTACGATTCTCCAAGAAATGAAATAGCTGCCTGGTCTATAACTGAAGGTTTCTTTACTTTCATTTCTAGAAACTTCTAAAAATTGATTCTTCCGTAAATATATGCTTATAATTCTTAGTAATGTTTGCTTCAGCAATATCTGCTTAAATGATTTATATGAACCGTAAATGATTACATGTAAAAGTGCTAACAAAATTATAAATTAAATTAAATTTTGGTGAACGCTGATGATTTTACTGTTTATGTTATTACTATTCTTTAATCTCTTACATGTTTAGAATCTGAATTAATTGATGGTAGTTTTGCATGTGAATGCAGACTGAATGTCGACGCGGACGTAAATGATTTGTTGTAAGCAATCTTGTTTTATGCTAGCTTCACTTAGCTTGGAAATATATACATTCCTTCATCGTAACAGTTTTTTACTTTATTTTTTCAGTCTATAACACTTTTTACTGTATTTTGTTATGAAATTTCAAAATTTGCTTTTATTCCATGGTAAAATTTTTTGCATAGAAAAAATGTCATTTGTGTCAAGGAAATAAACTAATTTTACAGGGTATATGATGCTACAAAATTCGCAGCTGCTACCAACGATGGTACGTTGAGATTACTAGAATATGATGAAGGCGTCATCAAACCAATTAGAAAATATTCAGGTGTTCATGATGGATCTGCTTGTAATGCTTTGTGTTATAATGATGGTAAGATCATATCTGGTAGCGAAAATGGCACAATAGTCTGTATTGATCTAGAAGGCAGCACCAGTCTCCCTATTCCATTGGTGAGCACTTTTTCAAGTTTCTGTCACATCTAGTTTACTGAATTTGTTATTTAACGATGTAATTACTCTGATAATAGATGTTACATTTCTCACTCTTCCCTAATTTCTTGCGATTCGTTACCAGTCCCATTGTTGAGTCGAGTTTGACTTGCGTAAAGATAATTTCGGAAACATATACAGCTGTTAAAGATATGGCTAACATTTCTTACTGACATTATAAATTTAATTTCGATTCGATTTTTACAGAATATGGCGAGCATACGGTCTTTGGCATCAGTGAGCAAGAATATTTGTGTATCAGCCCATCTGGATGGGCAGATTTGTGTCTGGGATTTCAGAGAAAAATTAGTGTCATCATCCAGACCCCTGTATTCTTGTAGAGTGACAGATTGGTTTCAGGGTGCCATATCGCTTGCTGTTCATCCCGCTGAACCTAATTTGGTTGATTTTTTTTTCGTCGCTGATGTATTTGCGTAAAGTATGTTTCACAGAAAATTCTTTCTTTGCATCAAACTATCGTAAAGAAAAATTGTAGGTTGGTTTTGGTACTGAAGATGGTGGGATTGGTTTCCTCGACACACATCCTGGTAGCTACTTGTTAAATGTTATTTCAGTTCCCTTCCCTGTTGGTACTATCTGGGAGGTAATTGCTTTGTTCATATTTTTATCTACAGATGGCGATAGTTTCAATCATATTTTAATTTTTTTTCTTATTGCAGCACTAATTTATTATCACAGATTCTTATTACTGTTAATTCACTGCAATTTTCACACATACTTATATGGTTTCTCAAATTTTAGATTGCTTTCCATCCAGTATATCCGTCAAATTTGTATTGCGCAACTGGCAAAGGCCATTTACTGCATCTGAGTGTCAAAGACGATTTTACTGAGTAATTTTAGATTACGATATCTTCCATAAATAGAACTGAGTCCAAACAAATTCTTTAAATTAAAAAAGCAATTTTTTCACGTAAGCTTACTTGGTTTGTGTTGAATCATGATATTACTCAATATGGTTGTTTGCTTGTTTTTTGATTATTATTATGTAATCGCTTTTCAGCTCCATTTCAAATTTCAAGAACGAACCACGAGCGAATGCGTGGCTTTCTTCATCAGTTCGTTCTGGCAATGCTAATGTCTCCACTATTCTTGATTGTCTTTTATCTATTAATTCTTTTAGTATATCAGTAAATGGAATCATCGCATGCTCAGACGATCAAATGATTACTTATATTGATAAAAAATACCTGGGGCAGTCGTCCCCATCATGACCCCTTTTACTGGTGTAGTGTTGCGCAGATTGTGTAATGTTATTTATTTGCCCATCTTTTTTATTTCAATATTTTTCCATTTCATTTAAGTCGATTCGCTGTTCATTGTTGTGATGAGCTCTATTTTCGAAGTAAAATGACACAAGTTATAATGCATAATAGAATATCAGGGCAGTTGTCAATGTTTCAGTCTTTCTTCTTTGTGATTAAGAGGAAGACATCATCTACTTCAAACCATTTGTAATTCTGTCCTTTTTCTGTTGTCATGTTATTCTCCTGAAGTTCGCATTACGTTTTTAAAAAGTATGTGACAATTGGATCACTGTATAGCGGAATGAACTGATGCGAATATGAGAGACAACCTTTAAAGATTCAATGATTTGTTCTTTCGTCAAATAATGGCATCGGTATTTTTGATCTCCAAAATAATAGTCATTTTCTCTTAGAACTCCACCTTGGATCTAAATTAATGAATAACAAAATCATTTTGTTTTGACACTGTTACAGTATGAAGAGAAGACACTCGAATGCATAGTGAAGATTCATTATTCGAATAAGGAATAGACAGGACATCCTTTTCTGTCTTAGGTTTTAGTGTTATTAGATCACCCGTGCTATGTAAAATAGGAAACTGGTGGAATCTCTGTTGCGATGCTTAGAAGATTAAAAAAACTAGAGACAATGGTATAATAAGACTTCCTAATTTCACGGGTTACATTACTAAATTATTCTTTTAGTTAGAGGATTCGTACCAAGAATCCGTTCGGTTCAATCAATTTCACAGCGTTACGGACTGCTCGACTGTAATCTTCCACGTTCTCGCTAGAATATTCGAAACAAAACAAAGAAACAACGACATGAAATTGTTGAGGAATGTTGTGACCCTCAGAGTGATTGTAATGTATATATTTGATGCATGATTCTTGTAGTAAGTCGATCTGAAATTCGCAATCTTATTATTGTGGTTGGATTACCGCTGGCTTCATTTTTAAATTTCTCTACCGAACTACAATAACATTAAGTCATAAATCTAAGAAAACAAATCTTATTATAGTTCGAAGTTAGTTTGCCATAGTTATTGCTGTAAATGTGGAAGTCTGCAATTCTGTTTCGAAAGATATTTTTAATAGGATGAATTTGTTTGGAATATAAAATTTAAGAGAAGGCAAATTGTAGAATTCCTATGACTTGTTATTTTCTGGTTCTAATAAAACAAATATATGTACATTATGATTGCTCTGTCTCAATAATTAAACTACTTTTACGTCTTTTTTCTTATTCAGAAGTTCAAGTGGATACGATGTAAGTGATCGTCGATAATATAAGGTACATTTGAAGCAAAGCAATAAAATAATGTAAGATTACTCTAAAAATAGCTCGAAATTTGTTCCGTGCGCAATCCTGCATATCCGCTGGCGAATCATCTGAGTCTTCCACACAAGCAATCAATTCACATACTTGATTCCATTCAAATGTTGACTTATTTTTGGCCCAATTTTTCAACACATCACAGTTAACTTGAGCATAATCCGCACTGTATATATGCTCAGCATGCTTGCGAAATGTTATCGGCACATGAACAGTAGGGCCTTAATGATTGTAGTTTTAAAAGTATAGCATTTGATCCATAAATGGTTTACATTGTTACATGAATCATATTAATTAACTACCAACAATTTTCAAATGTAGTTCGTTAGTTAATATGATCCATCTAACAATGCAAACCATTTATGGATCAAGTACTGTACTTGATTGTATGTTTTTAACGAATTCATATGTGCAAAATTACACCATAAGCAATGTCGAACAAACCTGCTCCGAGATCCAAGACTGTCCGGATCTTCTCGGGAATCCAATATATAATTCCGGGAAGGAAGAATAACACTGTCCGCATTGCTGCATCTTCCCTTGGGTTGTAGTAAAATGCTTGTAAGTATTCGTTTGCATCAAACTAAGAATAGTACTGCTTATTCTCACTTATTGCTGGGATTCATAACATTCTAATGTTAGTAAGATAATATTGTAGACGAAAAAGTGTACTGTTTCGTTGTCAAGTTTCGTATTTCATTAAATCTGTATTGACTATATTTGAGTACTAATAGAATCTTTACGGCAAAATAAAAAGCAATAAGCACTCAAAATGGATGGTACTATTCACATGCAAAGCGTGCTCCGAAGCAGAGTAAACTTTTAACGTCTTCTTGCATGCGTGATTTGTAGATTTAATGACGTTATTAAGTGAGTTTTGAGCTGAATCACTTATGGGTAACATTTGTGCATATTCTTGGCGAGCTGAAAATGATAGTTTCTCAATGTGGCAAATCAATTAATTGCTAACAAAAATTCAGTAAGGATTTGTTAGTAGAAGTCTCGCATTTTGTAAAGTTTCAAAATAAAGCAGCATTGATAAAGACGTGAACAGTTGGTGAAATATCTGATGTGAGAGTGATGTGAAGACGAGCGAAATAAATAAGTTCTATTGACTTTATACTTGACTCCTACAATTTTCTTCTCGCTAACTTTTATTATTTCTACATCTGCCAGCAAAAAGCGTTTTGCTGTGATCGCTAACCAAGCAAAAAATTAACAGTTAGCACTACAAACTTTTTCCAGTGCTATTGTTTCTTATATTAATCATGTGCTACTATTTAATCACAAGTCTCTATAGAAGTTGGAAATTTTTCCGATTTTCATGCTCTAATTTTGGTTGTACATGATAATTTTCATGGTAAAAGTAAACGGATTCTTAGCAAGAACTGAGATGAATTGGACATTATTTTGCACAGGTGTTGCTGCTTGTCCATTAACGCAGAAAATTGACCCGAACACAGATCTTTGTTCGCAAGATTTATCCCAGCTCACTTCTTCAGGAAGATGGAATGTTAGGAAAAAAGCCAGATCAAAACTATGTCTTCATTACATCATAAGTTCCTTGTTTTAAAGACAATTATAGTCAACTCAATCACAATCATCAAATTTTTATCTCTCATTTAGGAGGAGGGAGTAAATTGAAGTAATTTTTTGAGAACTGCACCATTTTGGGAAGCGGATGTTCCTTGTTTCCTTGATTACAGAAATATTTGTACAAAAAAGTTATGTTCAAATACACTATCTGCAAATTTGCTTTGTTATGAAAAGCATTAAAAATCAAGAGAAAGCATCGATGGATATTATATGATCTGCAAACTACATAGTACTATCATTTCTGAGCTGGTAGAAGTAAATTTTATTTACAGGTCTCGAAAAAAATGATATACATAGCATTATCAAATTTATCAACAATGGCAGTTTACAAAAGGAATAAAATAGATCAGAGATCAGGAATAAATGCTGCCTTCCTAAAAAAAACTTTTTTGTCAAAACCATACTTTCATTTATCATTTGAACAAATTCGATTTTTTACTTTTTTTAGCTTCCACAGAATGCGCAACATGTGTTTTCATCCACTCTGGTATGTTTCGCTTCACAGCAATCTCAGATGAAGTTGAAGTACATGACGATCTCTCTGAATTTTCTGTGACACCGTATTCATATTCCAAGATACCGAAAATAATCTTTAAACGATTGTAATCGATGAAATTTTCTGGCAATTTCTCCATTATGGGTTTCAACCGAAGAATATCTATAATATTAATTTCGTGTTTGGGATTTCATCATTATCATAAATTCTGACTACAAAATTAACGCATGCACCAATACTGCTGTATTCGAAGCATATAATAAAGATTAAATTCTTGTTTTGCAGTTTTTACACTACTTGAAACTAAACTTTGTAAATTTTTGATTGGACCTCCTTGGGAATCTGCTGCAGTGTAAGTAGTTTAATTCACAGTGAAGAAATTCAGACTACAGTGCTACATTTTGTTCGTTATTTTATTGAATCAAACAAAAAACCTGATCCATATTCTCGAATAGCGCTGAAAACGGTGTCCAAATGTTGTTTATTGATATCAATAGCATCCAAATGAATCGGAAGACCATTTTTAACAAAATTTACAAAATACGAAGTAATAGTTCCCTCGCTTACACCTCGCTGTTCAGCTGCATCACTCTGTAAATGAACTTTTATCATATTAGTAGATATTTTTGAAAAACAACAACAATGCTTCTTTGTCTAGCAACTCTATGATCATGATTAGGTTTTCCTGAATGTGTTGTGCGTAACAAAAAAAGAAAAAGACTGCACATATTAAAGTATTTAGTCATAATTAAAAACTCAATGACAACCTACAATGAGCTAGTATCGAAAAAGACAATGCTAAAAATATTTTTAATTATTTCATGTAACTTGTATTCCATGCATTAAATCCTTCAATTTTACAGCAGTCTGCAAATCAAATTCGAACATCTGTTCTTTGCACAGATGTGGTTTTACATCAGAACACATAAAAATATACTTGGAACAATAATCAAGATATGACCTACCAATGATGTTCTCCCCTTGACATGATTTTGAAAAACAATCTTGTGAGCTTCATTCAATGCACTCATTTTGTCAACGATTTCTTCAGGCAACTGAAGTCAGGTTAGAAACTTGTATCGTTACATAACCTGATTTAATTTTAAACACTCCATGTTTTGCTGCTATTTCAATGATATCCCCATTTACACGTTACTAACTTCTAATCTTTTTGATTGAGTTTGTCCCACACTTTAAATATAGACTGATTTGAAGCTTTTGTTTTCAGCTTATATTAATCTGCTTCTTTTTTTTCTCATACTCAATAATGATAGATTTCTACCACGAAAACAAATATCTGTGGCAAATTTTAAGAACATACAGATAGATCTATTGAACAATCCACAGACAAATCATGCTTGCAACAAAAATCTGCAATTACATCCACAAATTTTCGTCCATATTTTCGCTGTTTTTCTTCCGTCATCTCTTTGATGTTGCACAGTTTCTCAACACTGAAAAAGAATAAAGAATAACTATTTTTCAAAGCAAATTTATTTTGAGATACTAAAAATACTAAAAGAAAAAAAATGATCTATATACAATACTTGTATAATGACATGCTATTGAATGCAGAGACTAGTTCTGGCTTATATCTGTTTCCTAAAGCTTTCAGATTCAATGAATACAAACGTGGAAGGTCGTTTAATCGACAGCTGCTGGATACAAGTATTCGATGCAATCATATGTGCACCGCAATCATGTTCAATAGCTAAATTTGTTCGGGTTTCAAATAATATCTTCTCAAGTTGTTCCTACAACATGTGAATGAAAAATAGTTAAGAGATAAACAGATCAGAAGCTTTAAAAAAGAAAATTTTTTAGCATAAGAACAAGATAGGAATCTCTGCGAAATTTTCTGAACAAATGATTTGCTTACTGATGCAGTACTGTCATTTAAGCGCATCAGATCTTTGTAGCAGCTACACTCTTTCCAAACATGTTGTTTTTTGAAATTAAGTATTCTGAAATATAAAAACAAGTAAAAATAACGAGTTTTAGTTTCTTTTTCTTTCCAGATAAA